TGGGGGCTCATATGCAAGCACTAAGACAGGGCTGCTCTCACAGCTCATGGGGTTTGAGCTTACTTGTCTATCGGTGATTTGCTAGCATTCCTCTTTTACAGCCTGTCATCTGCCAATTGTGCTCTCCCTCCCACCTGTCCCTCCATTAGTCAACACCCTCTCCTTTCATTTATTCAATAGCTATTTATAGACTGCTCAACAGAGAACAAATGTTCAAGGCATTTGATCCTGTCCTCGATGAGCTTACAGTTGACTGAGGAACATCAAACAGGCACACAAATAACTACAACCCTGGGCAGTGTGAGATTAAGTACACAAATCAATCATATAAATCAACTGTCCCAGGAATCAGAGAACAGTCCCTCTGTTGTTAATGACAAAAGAAGGCAAAACAGAAAAGGAACAAGATGAATTGTGTCACAAACGATGGATGAGACTGTGACAGAATGACTGCTGGCAGGAGAATGAGGAAGATTTTCTGGCAGAGGAGACAGTGCGAACAAAGGTACAGACGTGAGAGGAGTTAGTGGCACAGACTCAGAAGGGGCAAGGCTGGGGCGCATAATCTGTGCTGGATGGCGTGGAAAGACAGGTGGAGGCAGAGTTTGAGGGCTCCGAATGCCAGGATGGGAAGTTATGACTTTGTCTGTTGGACAATGAGACACCACCAAAGGCCTAAACAGGGACGAGATACAGCGATTCCTCAGAAAGGTAAGTCTGGAGGCGCGCCCTGGTATACATAACTTAGAAGGGAGCAGGAAACGTTAAGTGTGGAGCAACAAACCAGCTGGGAGGCTGCTGTTTTTGTTTAAGCAGCAGGTAATGGAGACCTGAAACAGAACTGGAAATGGAATGGAAATATGGATGTCTTTTAGGCAAGAGTGAATGATAATTCCCATAAACATCATGTGGAGACCCTTGAATATTTGCAATTAATCACTTTATCCTCATGGTGGCAGCAGCTCTTATATATTTTTAAGACTTAATATTTTTATATATTGCTTCCCCTTCTGGCTAGAATGTTAGGGTCAGGACTACTAATTAGAGGGTCTAAACTCACTCTTCTGACCACTCACAGGGTTTCGCATACAGTCATCTTGACTGGGCCCTAAACTCCACAAGGACCTGGTTATCCTCAGGCAACCATGTTTTTGCATTTGTGGACATGAATACTGGGGCATACAAGTAAAATCCTTATTCTTCATTCTCTAGACTCTACGGACTCCAAAAGTGATCCCTAAGATCACTCTTCAAAAAATTTGAATCTTCTTGCTGGGCATACTTTGAGAAATACATGTCAAGTTCTACTCTTCTGAAAGGAATATCCACATAAACTCTACTCCTTCTTCATCCAGTATACAACTAGACCTCTTTAGGGTCCAACCAGGCCCCACAAAGTCTACATTCTCACAAAGGTTAATAAGGGTCCTCAGAACACCAACAGACAAAGTGGCAGCAGCATGTAAGACCCCAGGATAAACACCTGGTGAGCCAAGGCCTACGGAAGACCTGCCGATGTCTGAAAACTTCTCCAGAGCACAGAGGAACTGAAGCACAGGCTGAGAGAACCGCCCATGCCTAGACAAGCAAGCGCTCACCAGTCTACCTTCAATTATATTTTGATAAAAGGGAGAGGCAGTTTAAAGAATGGAAGGATTTTTCTGAACCAGGAGTTAGCCATCAGGCAAGCTGTGAGTAACCCAGTGGAAGGCAAACCATATGCATGGCTGGCAGCCCTAGCAAGTGGAGGTAAAGGAGCACACAGCAATCCAGTCCACAGCTATGCTGGCAGCATATCTGGCAGATTCCCGCCACTCCACCCATTATCTATCTTTGGATAGGTTGTCAAGATGCAGAGAAAAAAGATTTCCCAGTCTCTCCAAGAAGCCACTGATTTGTTTATTTTTACCTTGCTATTTATACAACACTACTGCAAGATGGTCAGGATTATTTCTCCGCATTTGGGGGAAATTTAGTTATGGATTCTTTGCAAGATCTTATTCAGTATCTCTAAAGGGCGGGGGATGGGGGGCAAACTTTTTCTGTAAAGGTTACATAGTAAATATTCTAGACTGCATGTTATACCTTGTAGCAAAATAATAAATGAATGGGCACGGCTATATCCTAACAAAGCCTTCTTTACAAAACTAGCTGCCAAACAGACTGGGTTCTCAGGCTGTAGTTTGCCTACCCCTGTTCTAGAGGAAGACTGTTCTGTTTATTGTTTTTCTAATATTTTTTTATTCTCCTCACATCCTTGCAATTTAAACAAAAGACTCATCAAGGAAAAATAAGAGAGAAAGAATGAGGTGGGGAGATTCGAAGGAAGAGTCACCTCCATGGAATATCATCTACCTATGAGTCCCCTCTCCTGACACACACCTTTCTTTGGTCTCCCATCCTTTGAAGACTAATACTTTGCAGCTTGGGTACTTACCACATAGCATTGACGAACTAAATAATTGCAAATACACCAGTTATTTTTGTTAGGCTTGAAATGCCTTGCATGTAAGTTGGGACATGAAGAATTTACTGACCTAAAGGATTACTGATGAAGAGAAAATCTGGATCCAGTTAGATTTCTCCTGTTTCCCCTGAATTTTCAAGTATTTAAAATCCATTAAAAGGGGTTCAAAAAAGCATTATATGGCAAATACAAATAGAGGGGCTAGAGAAGCTATGTGCTGTATTCTTCATAAAAATTTACTTTTGTATAAAAAAAATCTAAGAACCACACAAAATATCCCAACCTATTCTTATATATAATTCCTGGATTACAATGTCTGAGAGTCACAGTCAAGATATTGATCATGTATCAGGTCACACTAAACTATATTTATTAATTACTTTAGTAAGACACTTCATGAACTCTTTGCAACAATCTGAAATTCCACCTAAAGCACAGCTTTATATTTGTCCTCTCTTCCTATTCTTTTAACACAGAAAGCCCTCCTCTCCACTGGAGCATTTTTAATTAATTTTTTTTTATATTAAAACAGTAAAAACCATGGTTCATTCTTTGATGCAATAATCATATTTACTTACTTTGGTTTTGTGTTGCAGAACTGATGTGCTGAGAATCCTAGAAAGAAAAATAAAAACCCCTAGTTATTAAGCTTTATAAATCTAAGTTGCATCATGGCTAAATCTGTTAAACACTGATAAACCTAATTTTTACATAAAACAGATTTTATTTCTTTCCTTCTTTCCTAGATTTTTTTTCCTTTGGTGTTGAGCAAAGATTTTTTTTTAAACAAAGTAAAATGTTTTACTTTAAACCCAGTAATAATGAATTGTCTTATAAAAAAAAAAAAACTATCAGAAAATTTGTAAGTATCTAATGTGACAAATTCTGGTTTGGGTAGATACAACCTTTTTTGAAAACATTATCACAAAAAGGAATACTATATTAGCAATGTGCATGCATGCCTGCCAGGCTGGACAGAACACACATGTGAAGGTGATACTTCTAAATTCTGAAGGTCGTCCCAAAGAATACTCTACTCCCCGTCAAAAAAGAAGAAGAAAAATGGCAGTGTTTTTATTTTTAATGCAATGTTTACAAACACTGTAACAGAAACATGCAAGTCAGTGGTTGATTTGCTTGTTTTTAAAACCAGCACAAATGTAGCAAATCATGTTAAACTTTTAAGAAAATTTAAAAGGTGTGAGAAGTGTAAGATGTATGTATGCATCTATGTACGTAAAGGTATATATCTAAATTCTAAACTAGAAATCAAACAACCTACTTCACTTAATTTCCTTGTATCTCCATTTTCCCATCTTTAAGTAAGGACCCTCTAGTGAGATAATTTACTGGAAAGTCCTGCACGCTTTCATAAGCTACAGAACCCTTTGCGAATGTAAGATATTCTTACTGACATAATTTGGAGAATAAAGTGTTTGAAAGCACTATGAAGAACTTTAGAAGGTAAATTAATTACAATTTTAACTTAATTGCCAAAGATTTCAACAAGTATTATTTGATTAAGCTGGCTCACAGCAATACCTCAGATTTTTCACTGTGGATGTAATGCCTGCTATATTGGTGAGGAATTACCTTTGTGGGAAAAGGAAATTTGGAGGGCTCAGCTGTACTAGGCGTATGTATTGCTGTCAAAGGAGGAGGCCATGAATGGGTCATTTCCTGAAAAGAGATTTGGAAAAGTAAGAAAAAGGTAAATTATAAACAGAACATTTATTGCTACTTAACTTTTTAAACAAGGTAGAGTAAATTAATGGTAAATGAAAAGTGAAATCTTTAGTTATTTCATTTACTTTTTAAAAAACTACTTAATGTATAATTCAAAAGCTAAAGATCTCTAATTTACAAAACTGAAAAAAAATCAATTTGAAGAAGAAAAACAAGAGTGTAGAACAGAAATGGTTTTAACACTGAATATTATAAAGCATATAAATGGTAATAGAGATTATCAGAGTTTATGTAACTGTGAAAACTGAGTCTCTACTCAATGCTTTCTTTCTCCCTCAGCTTCTTTATTGCATTTCCTGGAATTATTTAAGTTCAAAGGAAGAAGAACTTTCCTGTTTGACTTAAGCAAACAAGTAATTCAGGTCACTTGTTCCTCTTGGGAGAGTTTTAATGGATTTGACCCTTCCCTGGTACACACTATTAGTACGTAAGAACTTTTTGGAGGAGAGGGCCTTAAAAAAATTACCTTCCCTTTCCATTAAGAGTTTAATATCTATTCACTCTTCATGGAAGCAAGGTTTCTAAATATTACAAAGGAATATATTTATCTTGATGTGAATTTTTTAAGCTCATTTGTGAATTATATTTTGCTTTACTAAAATAATTGGTGGAAAACAGAATGTCAGATTAAAGGAGTCTGATCACAAACACGTGCATGTGCACATGCACACTTTGTTAAAGAGCAAAAATGGCACTGGAGATCATTAGCTCCAATCATTCCATTTTACAGATGAGAAAACTGAGGTCCAAAATGACTGGACTAGATGCCCCGGGAAGCCAGTGGCTGAGAGCAGAGAGTATGGGCCACTTGCCTTCCCAGTAAGAGAAAGAAATCCATTCCATGTGTCAGAGCCGCATGGCAAAGTGGCTTAAAGATTGACAGGCAATTCTCTACCAGCAAGCTGGTGACCCCAGATCACGCTCTATTACCTCACCTGTATAACACATCGTGTATTATAACACTTCATTCTTTTCAAAGTGCTGACCAAGCTCTCTATTACCACAGAAATGCCATCTGATCCTTGCAACAACTGGAGACGGAGTTCTGGTAAGTATTTCCACTCCCGAACTCAGTTCGCATACTCCCTTGTGGTCCCCAGAGCCCCTCTCTGGGTTGCTACAGCCCCAGGGTTGACATAAATGACCTGGCACAATGACAAACCAAGTAACTGATGCTGGCTTTCTTAAGAAATTTTTGTTAAAGGTGAAAGCATCCCCTTGTCTGGCCATCTGCTTGGTTCAGAAGACGTCCTGCACTAAAATGTAATGGAAGGAGTAAGCTCTGGAGCCAGAGACCCAGATGAGAATCCTGACTCACCCTCACTGGCAGTGTCGGCCTGAGCTGTCTGAGCTCTCTGAGCCTCAGTTCTTAATAATAGGCAGACCTAAACCACTTATTCTTCAAACTGTTTAAGAGTAATTTTTGTAATGTGCCTGGATGCATGATGCATAGAAAGCACTTAAAAATTAAAAGCATTACAACTTTTAAATAAAAGTCTAGTTTTTTAAAGAACTTCAATACTACACCAAAGAGCTCTCTGCTGATTTATCTGACTATACTTTAAGGTACAGGACCATTATAATGCTACAGTGTAAAAACATATAATTGAGAAGGTGTTTGAAAGTATCGCCCTTATGTTTTCCAAGAATTTCTTTAGAATTCCAACGGTATCTGTGACTTTTAGTCACCAATTATTCCCAGAAAACAACCACTGTACTCTCAGTGCCTAAGGCTGTCCCAGCTATTAAATGAGGCAGTTGGAATGTGCATAAACTCTTTCAGGCCCTGAGTGGTTTGCTGGTAGTCTGAAAGAATTTAAGTACTTTCCTAAATGCCTAGCTTAGGAGAGGGACTTAGGCTTTAGGAGAATTGGGGCCATAAAGAGAGAAGCCTGCCCAGAACAGCAAGGCCATGAATTTGCTTCCAACTTTAACAATGATTTAACACATCAGTGAGGGTAAATCGGATGGCACCTGCCCCAGTTCTGGCCTCTGGGTACCACAGCTGCTGTCTCCACTCTGTGCTCCGCCTCACTCATTTTGCTCTGGACACACTGTCTAGTTCTTGCTGTTTCTCTAACACACTAACCTGTTCTCACCGT